TGCAAAGAGAATAACCTTCACATCAATGTGAAGAAGACAAAAGGAGATGATTGTGGACTTCAGAAGGAACAAAAACATCTACACCCCCCTTAACATAAGAGGATCTGCGGTGGAAGTGGTCTCCAGCTACAAGTACTTGGGTGTACACATGAATGACAACCTCAGCTGGAGCAACAACACCACCAGCCTGATCAAGAAAGCTCATCAGAGACTCTACTTCCTCAGGCAGCTGAGACGAGCTGGTATGGGAAGCTCAGTCCTCACCTCCTTCTACAGGTGTGCAGTGGAGAGCATCATGTGCTCCAGCATCAACGTGTGGCATGGAGGCTGCACAGCTGCAGAAAGAAAAGCTTTGCAGAGAGTGGTGAAGGTTGCACAGAAGATCTTGGAGTCAGTCTCCCCACCATCACATACATCTACACCTCCAGATGCAGGAAGAGGGCTACCTGCATCATGAAGGACCTCACTCACCCAGCACACACACTTTTTGCCCCACTCCCCTCAGGAAGGAGGTTGAGGAGCATTAAGTGTAGAACCACTAGACTGAGAAACAGCTTCTACCCTGAGGCTGTTAGACTCATGAATCTCTAACTAGAATAATCACTGTGAAAAACCACATCATGTTGCTGCTGATCTGTTTCATGTTGCTGCTGATCTGTTTCAATGTTGATGTGTTCATGCGTGCACATCCGCTCACACAGACTCATGTTCATGTTTGTGCTGATGTTCAATGTTTTTATGTTATGAGTGCTTAGTGTATATAGTTGATGTTTTTCTTAGTTCATATCTTAGATGTTATTACTGTTTTTCTTATACATTTTATTGTTGGATGTAACTGGGACCCTGTGTACATAATTTCGCTCCACCACATGTACCACATGAGGTGCGAATGACAATAAAGAATCTCTGACTCTGACTCTTTACTGGAACATTCACATACATAAAAGCCAATTAGTAAAGTTCTCTATCTAAGGAATCCAACAGACAAGTTGAATCTTGGCTTCGTTACAGTCTCCCATCCTGAGCAAGCACAGTGGCAACAGTGGAAAGGAAAAACTCCCTTTTAACAGGAAGAAACCTCCAACAGAACCAGGCTCAGGACAAACGGCCATCTGCTTGGACCGGCTGGTTTGAGAGGACAGGAAGGATAGACAAACGAATATAGAATGGTAGGTCCAGGTGTAGGTCCAGGTGTACCTGAAAGACAAAACCACATGTTAAGGATAGAAAAAATAATTGCAAATACTAAACAGGTTGAGCAGAGTAAGTAGCAGAGTGAAAATTGTGGTCAGTTTGTCCTCCAGGAGTCCAAAGCCTCCAGTATACTGTAAGTACGCGTGTACTGTACGCAGTTTTCAGACTTCGTACTCCAGCTTACACCCCGAGCAGCTGCAGAGCAGCTTCACAGACAAGGGGCGTTTACCTTCGGGACAAATTGAGGTCGCCGATTGGTCATTTGCTGACACGCCTACTGGATTGATTGACAGGTCGGAAAAAAAAAAACGAGTGCTGGCAACCTCAGCCACAGCGGTGTTCTGTGTTTATATGTTGTTAATAAAAAGATCTAAAAAAAACAAACAAAAATTAAAGCTGCAAGCAGCGTTGAAGGCCCTCGCAGCGAAGCGCCGCTGCGGCCTTACGGCGACCGCGGAAACTCCAGCGACTCCTTCCGGTCACCATCGAGAACGCTCACGCTACCGTCACGCGCCCGTTCTCCGGAGTGCGCATTCGCCGAACCTTTGACATAAGCTGCGACCGCATATATAACTATTGTAATAATGTAGGGGGCGCACTTGAGTCAAATATTAAACAACCACACCACTGTGTCCATAAGTCGTCACTAGTCAAGCACGAAAAATCTGATGTAGATCGGATGATATGTCACTGAGATATAACAGTTTGATTTATCTAGGGGGCGCACTTGAGTCAACAGTAAAACAACAATACCATTGTGTGTTTAAGTGCTCACTTATCACACACCAAAAATCTGGTCCACATCGGATGACATATCACTGAGATATAACAGTTTGAATAATGTAGGGGGCGCACTTGAGTCAAATTTTAAACAACAATAACGGTGTGTAGACATGGTCACACATTATGCCACAAAAATCTGGTGCAGATCGGATGATATATCATTGAGATATAACTCTTGGTATATTGTAGGGGGCGCTCTAGAGTCAAAATTTAAAAAACATTACTACTGTGTCCACCAGGGCTAAATAATAATACACCATAAATTTGGTACAGATCGGCTGATATATCACTGAGCCAAAACAGTTTTAATAATGTAGGGGGCGCACTTGAGTCACATATTAAACAAGAAAACTAAAATGTCCATCGGTTCTCAGTAATGACGCACCAAAAATCTGGTTCAGATCTTGGCCACTTATCATGGAAACCTGTTCAAAGGTGGATAATGATCAATCATAGTGATTTTGGTTCACCTGGGCTCAAATCTGTGCAATTTAGAGCCAAACGTATTGCAACGGCGTCACTTTTTAATTCGCCATGGCGCCACGCCCACATTCTCCAGCTATAACTGTTTTGTTGTTTAAATCAAGTCAGACCATCTTATCTGTCTTCTAACACAGGATCATCCTGATTATGTGAAGGGTGTCAAAGAAGGACCATTCCAATTAAAAAAAGTCACTTCCTGTTGTGAGGGGGCGGGGCTTTGATGACATCAAAATTTGACCTCAGGGTATCGTCGGGCATGGGACAGGGATGACTCGTGCCAAATTTAGTACAATTCTGTCTTTCAAGTTGAAAGTTATAACGTTTGGAAATTTATGGCGTCAAGTTCAACTTTGAGGCCTGGCCACGCCCCTTTAACAAAACGAAACCGAAAGCTTTTGATAACTTTTACTGTCCAATGTCTTAAAGGCCTATTAACCAAGTTTTTAAGTCAATCCTTCAAAATCCCTAGGAGGAGTTCGTTAAAATTCGCCGTTAAAAACGCCCAAAAATTAACCTTTGACCCAAAATGGCCGACTTCCTGTTGAGTTTGGACCGGAGCTCCAAGAGACTTTTTCATAGGTCCTGAGAAGATACACATGTTCACCGAGTTTCAGATTTATAGGTCGAAAAA